AGACAGATGATAGATAGATAGATAGATAGATCGATAGATAGATAGATAGATAGACAGACAGATGATAGATAGATAGATAGATAGATAGATGATAGATAGATAGATAGATGATAGACAGATGATAGATAGATAGATAGATAGATAGATAGATAGATAGATAGATAGACAGATGATAGATAGATAGATATATAGATGATAGACAGATGATAGATAGATAGATAGATAGATAGATAGATAGATAGATAGATAGACAGAATTTCATGTTCCAGCATGTAGCTAAGTATTACTAGCATGCTTTTAGCATGTTTTAACCTATAGTTAAGGGTTAACACTTTTTGGCTAGCTTGTTGCTAGCATGTTTCTTGAAGTTGTTACCATTACCTAACATGTGTTTAAGCACGTTTTCAGCATACATGTTTTAGCTTGTTTCTAGATCTTGTTAGCAGGTTTTTGCATGTTAATGCATGTTTTTGTTTCTGTTGGTAGCATGTTTTACCATGTAATATGTGTTATTTAATATGTATTAGCATGTTGCTAACGTTATTGTACAGTGTATAGAGGGCCGCAGTGATGTCATTTTTGTCAACGCCGGCATTGCTAACCTGAAAGTTAGCATCACCGTTTCCCTCAACAAAAAGTTAATGGGATTTTCCATTGCCTTTCGGATAATTGCAGAAAATAAGCTCTGTGACCAACAAAAGTTTATGATTCTTGTTAATATATGATAATAGTGTTAATATCAGGTGTGAATGGGGTCTTTGTTAAGGGAAATCTTCTCACCTTCCCACAGGATCTGCAATGGTGGCGTCTCCAGGTGAGGGTGAACTCACAGGTGCAGATCATGCACATAGTGGCCCTCAGGTCCGGGATCCATATCGGGGCTTTGGATCCCAGCTGGGCCCCGCTGTCTGGAACATCTTGGGTTGCCTGAAATATTGCAAGTTGACAACAAAATTGGGCACGTGAAGCATTATGATGATGCAGGTCATTTCAATCAGTCAGTTTACCATCTCAGGGTTTCTGACTGAGGTGAAGGTGGTCTCTTTCTTGGTGTAATCGTCGATTGCGGTGGAAATGGCCTGAAGCCACTCATCTCGACATGCAGCAGAGCTTTGAGGATAAAACCACGAGAGTGTATCAATCAGAAACATACACATTCAGTTGTATGGATTTCATGTTACGGTGCATGAAATAAATGTCAATGATGAATAATAAGAATTTGGACCCCAAATTTATTCACCCTGATATAATTTGTATAACTTTCTTCTGTGGAATAGAAGATATTTGATTTTGATATGTCTGTTTTTTTGTCCATACAATGATGTTTTGGACACTAATGACTTTCAAGTTTCACTGTACAGGCAAAGACGATTAAATATATATAAAATTAGTTTAATTTTCCCCTGAAGACAGTCAGTCATGTAGGTTTGGAGCGATGAGGCTCAGAAAATTATGACCATTTTAATTTTGGGGTGAACTATCCCTTTAAGGACTAATTATTAAATAGGACAAAAATGAGCACCACATCCTACATACTTAATATTTTGCCATTTCATGGAAAGATTCTCACCTGGCAGACAGAATAAAAGATCGTTCAACACTCTCAATGTTTAGCTCATTTTGATACCCCTCCTGACTAGGTTTACTGACCTGAGGATAATACAGTAATAGAAAATATGACATTTTGAAATGTGTGTAAATATGCAAAAATATGTTTAAAATGGAAAAAAAAAATAGCTGTGACAACTTCAGCAATAAAAATCTCACCTCCATCTCAGCCAATGACAGTATGTTGTTCAGTTTGAAATTACCCGTTGCTACTGGCGTGGTATACAGAAGACTATCATTTAACTGTTCACAAAGAAATAAGAAATACATTTTTCTCAAGCAAGAAAAACAAAGGGATGTGTGAGGGTGGTTTTAAGTCAGAAAACGTCACTTAATTTAGGCTCAATATTAGGGAAAAACATAAAAACATATCTACAAAAACAAAACTAACAAAAGTCACCATAGAAACAACAAACAAAAAAAATAAATAAATAAATAAACAAAAGCCAAGATAAAAACAACAAACATTTACCATAAAATCAACAAACAAAACTCAACATTAAACAAACAAGTCAACATTAAATGAAAAAAAACAAACAATAAATATAAAATAAAACAACAAAACCCGACATAACATCAACAAACAACCAAACAATAAACATAAAAAAATCAACATAACCAAAATTAAAAGACATAAAACCAACAAATAAAACAAACAAACAAAACCAACAAGTCAACATAAAAATCAACAAACAACAAAAAAACAAACAAAATCAAACAAGTCAACATAAAATAAAAAAGAAACAATAAACATAAAACCAAACAACGAAAGTCAACATAAAATCAACAAACAACAAAACAAACAATAAACATAATATCAACAGTCAAAATGAACTAAAGTCAACATAAAAATCATTAAGTCAAATAAAACCAAAAACACAACAAACTCAAACAAACCCAACAAAAGTCAAATAAATAAATAAATAAAATCAAACAAAACCAACAAGTCAACATAAAATCAACAAACTAAACCAAAAATCCAACAAAACCAACCAAAGTCAACATAGTATCAAAATGATACAACATTAAAATGTTTTATTTTATTTTGCAAAAATAACCAAGGGCATGAAAAAATCTATTAACCAATAATATCATACCCTAACATGTAACATCCATGAATTATGTCTCATTACAGAAGATACATTGTGAATATTGTTTCATGTCATGTTTAATAAAACCAAATGAGCAGTGAGACGGCTGTCACTTACTAAGAATAACATTCGAGGCTGCATCCCCTTCCTGGAGAGCTTCATCAAGATCCCTTCCTTTAACAAAACCTAAGAAAACATACATGAATATATTACAAAAGTATTTCCAGTTACAAACAGTTCAACAGGAGTTAACGCTTGTGAACGTACCCGTCCTGGCTGAACGATCACGTGATGCCCAGTGAGGTGGCACTGAACCTCGTACAGCTTCTGGCAGTTATCCTGCGTGAAAACCACATTTCATATTCCTCAAGATTTTACAAAAAAAGCATAAGCTATTGTATGTGTAGATTTTTTAAAAACTAAAAAACGGATTCTGAATTACCTCGTGTCTTACGATTTCATTTGCATGATTAGCCACCTCCTTTACTATCATCAGGGCAGCTGTAAAGACATATAAAGATATTATTTATATATCACGTAATAGAAGACTGAGATTTGCTGTGTGCCTACTAACAAACGATTTCAAAACCATTTATTTTCACCTTCTGCATCTTTGTAGTCTGGCGATTCTTCATCTAGATTGTTCAAATAACCTAAAGAAAAATTATAAAGGTGTATATAAAAAATCTGAAATGTATAAATATATAAAACGAACACTTTGAATAATAAACAATTAGAAGTTGGCATTAAGCCATTTCACTAGCTGATTTTTTACCACATTTCCACTCATAAGCTCTTTTTTGTTTTGTTTTCTCAGTAAACGTATAGCTACGTGTTGCAAGTGCAGATTGTTTCCATGATACCGGTGCCTTTAGTTTCTAACAATTTCATAAAGTTGACTAATGTAAGTATGAAGAGCTAGAATAATCCTTTGTTTAAAAACACTTACGTAATCAATGCATTTGCATTATTACATACATTGCTCACATTTTTGCAGCATTAAGCCTGAACTGCTTACACAACACAAAACATGCAGGAACATGCAGCTCAGACTTCTGCTTTCTCTGTGAAGCTGATTAGGTGTTTACTGTGGTAAAACTAATGCATATAACTGACATATACAAAACAAATGCTCTTGTGTTCAGATGTTTGGATGTTACTGGTCACTGAAAGTGTGTGAAAGTATGGCCGAGCATCAATGCAGATTTCCTTATTCGATTCTGATTCACAAGCTCACAATTTTGATTCACAATCTGATTCACAAGCTCACACATGCATATGAAATAAATTCTCTCTCTGCCCTACCCTAGCAACTCTATGGCAATGTGCTCAAACCATCCAAGCCACATTTATGAAAACTTAGCAACCACCCAACACACTAGAAACTGCATTGCAATGAACAGAAACCATTTAGAACATGTTAGCTATACCCTGGCAACTACACAGTGCTAAAACACACAGATCACCTTAGCAACCACCCACAATACCCTAGCAACTGTAATGCATTAGAAACCACACAGAACGAAGGACTTAGGACGAAGCATCCACCACACATTCCATAGATCGATTCAAGTTACGTGCACAAATAAAAGCCTAACAGTGTGTGTTTGTTTTTGTTGAATTTCTGTGTCTGATATATTAATTTACCCATTAAACTGTGCAATTTAATACCAGTACGAATATCAATATGATGTAATAGAAGAATAACGTACACATATGAATTGCATATGACAAATATTTAATTTTCCTGAAATAATTTGTATTCTTCATATTACTTGTATGACTGGGTATCTAAAATGTAACTGAATAAGTTCTAATTAAAACTTAGGCCTATTTGTAAAGTAAGATCTGGAGGATCGAACATTTCGACACGCAAAGTGAACTGCGCACGTGACTGGACAGAAAGTGAAGCTTCGTTTGACATTGGTCACATGATTTCTATGTTAATAACACAAGCTTCGAATCGGGGCTTCATCTGGCACACCCATTTATTCTCGACACAAGCTCCGATGCCTCAGTTCAAATGTCACATCACTACTGGCAACCACCCACAATAACAAAAACTACTTAGAACACCTTAGCAAACACATAGCAACACCCACAATACCCTGGTAACTGTAATGTGTTAAAACATCCAAGTCAACTTTATGAAAACCTAGCAACACCCTGGCATCCACCCACAATACCCTGGTAACTGTAATGTGTTAAAAAACTACTCAGAACACCTTAGCAACCACATAACAACACCCTGGTAACCACCCACAATACCCTGGTAACTGTAATGTGTTAAAACATCCAAGCCAACTTTATGAAAACCTAGCAACACCCTGGCATCCACCCACAATACCCTGGTAACTGTAATGTGTTAAAATAAACTACTCAGAACACCTTAGCAACCACATAGCAACACCCTGGTAACCACCCACAATGCCCTGGTAACTGTAATGTGTTAAAAAAACTACTCAGAGCACACCTTAGCAACTGCATAGCAACACCCTGGCAACCACCTACTGTACTGCAATGTGCTAAAACATCCAAGCCACCTTTATTAAAAACTAGCAATCACCCAAGGCCCTAGACACTGCACTGCAATGAACAAAAACCATTTAGAACACCCTAGCAACACCCTGGCATCCACCCACAATACCCTGGCAACTATAATGTATTAAAAAAAAACTACTCAGAACACCTTAGCAACCACATAGCAACACCCTGGTAACCACCCACAATACCCTGGTAACTGTAATGTGTTAAAAAAACTACTCAGAACACCTTAGCAACCACATAGCAACACCCTGGTAACCACCCACAATACCCTGGTAACTGTAATGTGTTAAAAAAACTACTCAGAACACCTTAGCAACCACATAGCAACACCCTGGTAACCACCCACAATACCCTGGTAACTGTAATGTGTTAAAAAAACTACTCAGAACACCTTAGCAACCACATAACAACACCCTGGTAACCACCCACAATACCCTGGTAACTGTAATGTGTTAAAAAACTACTCAGAACACCTTAGCAATTGCATAGCAACACCCTGGCAACCACCTACTGTACTGCAATGTGCTAAAACATCCAAGCCACCTTTATTAAAAACTAGCAATCACCCAAGGCCCTTAAACTGCACTGCAATGAACAAAAACCATTTAGAACACCCTAGCAACACCCTGGCATCCACCCATAATACATAATACCATAATAGCAACTGCACTGCAACACTCAAAACACCTTAGCAACACGCTAGCATTGTGGCAGTATTTTATTTATTGGAAAACACTCATTTTCTTCATGAACTCCTAAGTGAATCCTCACTGGTCAGGAGAAGCTGATACTGTGGAATTCTCTGGATGGGTTTCAGCATGTAATGTTTCACTGCCAGGTTTGCACAGCATGGATGGCTCTGTATCAATGAGAGAGAAAGAGAAAGACAGATGATGGCCAGAGGGGCATTTTAGGGGAGTTTTTAAGAATGTAAAAAAAAAAAAGAAAAAACAAAACAACCCAACAGACTATTCACATTACTACAAAGATTGCCATTCACACACACTAGAGCATCTAGGTTACTACTGTCTGACATGAACTGACAAAACAGGTCGGAGTGGTTCTGTTACCTCAAACTCTTGGACGGCTTTGGCAAACGCTGGGTTTTTCCGGCACTGCTCTTCTAGAAGGGCCACATTCTTGTCGAACTCACGAATATAAGTGGAGTACATTTTAAGATACGGGCCCTTCTTCACAAATATGTCCGCTACACTGCAATGCTCATTCCTGTTTGAACAAGGGAATTTCTATAAATAGTTCACATAAAAATACTCTCTGGTATAATTTATTTGCCCTCATGTTGTTCCAAAACCCGCATGACATTCTTTCATCCTTGGAACACAAAAGAAGATATTTAGAAGAATGTGCTGGTTGCTCTTTTCGAGAAACTGATCAGTTCAATTTGTGAAAGAATCATAAAATTCGAGTCATCTGATTCATTGAAAAGACTCAAAAGAACAGTGAAGATGTCAAGATTTACAGTAAATAACGAGTTGAATTTCAGTATGTTTTCATGCAAAGCTATGATATTCCTTTAGAAATTAGGAAAATAGTGCAAGATTTATATCGAGTATTTATGTGATATTTTATTGCGCATTTGGTTCCTTCTTGAAGCTTGAAAGCTGCAGTCTCTTTCATTGTAACTGCATGGAAAGGAGCGACTAGCACATTCTTTAAAATGTCTTATTTTGTGTCAGAAGAAAGTCATACATAGAATATTAATTTGTAAATATTCACATTATTAAACTCTCGAAGTGTTAAATTTCAATGACTAGTCATATCTAGATTTCTGACACTTTTTGGAGAAAATGCTGGATAAAATTAACCCCAAATATTATATGGGTCAATGACGTGATGTTTAAATTTATACCATCTATTAAATTATTTAGAAATTCATACATATATTGACTTAAAACACCTGTTCTATAAAGACAGTTTTAATTTGTATAACCTAATTTTTTAAAGTTTTTTTAATTAAATAATTAATTTTTTATTAGTTCAGGTTGTAAAATGTAATGTAGTGCGACTTTAAACATGATATTTACTGTAGAAATTGTTTTTAAATAAACGAAAATACTTTTTACCTTGATATTTATTTTTTTTTAATTATGATTACGATGTGCACACATGTAAAATGTTTTTTTAATGTTTACACCACATCACATTTATTAAATTTAATATTTATAAAATATTTATAAGATATTTTCTTGAATATGGTATGTAATTTATCTTGAATATTTTCTTCTAATTTCTTGAATATGAGCCAACATTAGTACAAAGATTACATTTCTAAAACTCGACACATTTGTTTTAAACTGGATTTTATGTCACTCACAACTAAAGCAAATTTCTTTGTCTAGCTTAGCAATTACATAAGTATCAAACATAACTTTTTCTATAGTTCTACAGTGACATTTTCCATGTAATTGTGACAGACCTACAAATGCACTGTAGCTACTGACTTTCCAGTGTTTCAATATAAATAAGAAGGTATGCAGGATTGTTGCTTTCTCGTGGTTTGTTGATGTTTGCATTACCAGTGAGCAACCCGTTCCTCCAGCTCTCTCAACAGGTCACAGTTGAGCTCGTACAGCTGCGGCAAATAACACAAGATCTGGTTCAAGACTCGCTCGTCGATTACGGGTTTCCCCGCCTGACAGGAGGCCGCGTCACGAAAATCCTGCAGGGTAAAAGGAAGCGATATTACATTATAGAAAATAAATCCATTATTTTATATGTTAATTCAAAGACATTTTACCAACAGTCACACCAAAAGCTCTGATAATGGCCTATGTCTTTGTAACTTAACGCAATAAAAATATCATAATAGTTGAAATTGGCTCAATTAACTATAGCCTGACAGACCCAGTTCCCTTTTTTTCCTATTGTATGGCCAGAATTTTCCATATTAGTTCTCCTCACGCAAGAAATTCATATGGGTTTGGAACGACATGAAGGTGAGTAAATAAGGGTGAACTCTTCCTTTACGAAAACAACGCCTAAACTGGTTTTATTTGCTGCAAGTAAATATCCGTCAAGCTTACAGACATTTCCTTTAACTCTAAAAATGCAACACAATGAAATGCATCATTCAAAATATGGGTAAAACGTGAATAATTAATTCCTTTATATTAACACAGTACATTTTGCCCTATTTTTACACACTTTTCTTAGAGTGTATATATGCATATGTTCCTAAAGTTTTTTATTTGAATTAAATGTTTATATTTTAAAATATATTTTATAAAACGGATAGTTCCGGTCCTTGATTCTGATTGGCTGAGCCACATTCGAAGCTGTTGTAAATTGCTCTACAAACATACACCTTTGTTTACATTTGCATGTTGCTTAGCAACCACAACTGTTTCTGAGGAACTACATTGTTTGGCGGAAGAATACTGTTTTTATTTAGGCTATATCATTACACTTTATTTGCTCTGTTTTATTTTGTGAAGCCGTACTGCGTATATGGAATAATCGTTTTATAAAAGCAATAAGCCCCGTGAAGCCGTGGTTTACAGCGAATTTATAACAGCTAAGGGGGTTTCAGGCACGACGCGAAGCAACGCCTCTTAGCTGTTATAAATTCACTTTATAAAACGTAGAGTTCCGGTCCTTGATTCTGATTGGTTGAGCCGTGTTCGAAGCTGTTGTAAATTACACTACAAACATACACCTTTGTTTACGTTTGTCTGTTGCTTGGCAACCACTTTGTTGCAACCACAACTGTTTCTGAGGAACTACGTTGTTTGGTGGAAGACTAATGTTTTTATTAATATCATTACACTTTATTTGCTCTGTTTTATTTAGTGAAACCGTACTGCGTATATGGAATAACCGTTTTATAAAAGCAATAAGCCCCGTGAAGCCTTCTTGGTGCTTATTGCTTTATTCTTTCTGAGTCAGTCTTCAGTGTCACATGATCCTTCAGAAATCATTCTAATAAGCTGATTTGCTTATCATCTCATGTTAAAACACGTTTGCTGCGTATTCTTTTTATAAAAACCATGATTTTTTTTTTCACGGTTCTTTGATGAATAGTAAGTTTATTATATGAAAATTTATTCAAAGCATTTTTTTGTAAAGCTTTTACTGTCACTTTTGATCAAGTCGTTCCTGAATAAAATGATTGAATTCTTTAAAAATAAAAATCTTCTTCTTACTGATCCAAAACAGTAAAGTGCGCTCATATAAACGTATGATATGACTGTCATTATAGCAGTTGTGTAGCAGTCAGACCGATAAAACTAAACAAAAAGCTAAATGAAAAAAGCAGCTTGCTACTTTGATGCTACCAAATTGCTATTTGATTTTAAAAAATGGTGACACAAATACTGAGAAACTAATAGATTCACACTGCTACTGGCCAACACTGACTGCAAGCAAGTCTGATTACACTATGTATAAGAAGCAGATGAAGCATAAAAAAGCAGATTTAGAAAAGAGCCCATGTGACTGATTTACTCACATTTCATGAAAAAGCAGGGCTTTGCATGGGACTTTATGTAACGGCCTACCTACAATAACGTGACCGTATCTAAATTAGCTCAAAAAGTCATAGTGAACACTTACTACATGGAGGAGCTTCAGAACTTTCACAAATCTGGAAATAAATACAACGAGAACAATAAAGACAAATATTAAAAATATTAAAAAGAAGTATTTATGTGAACAAAACAGGCTTACATTTTCTCAGAAGACAAGATCTCATTAACAATGTGCGCAACCTTGGTCTTCTTCGCTTCAGTCTAGAAAAAAAATAAAATGTTACCATCAAAAATAACTATTTAGCTCTAATTAAATAAGCAGACTAAGTATCGAAAGTGTTACATTATATAGAAAATGTTTATATACTTTGTGTATACTGAGCTGCAATATTTCTATAAATATATAACATTCGTTTTTTTAGGATAAATGAAGTGTTATTTCTAATAAAGAGCTCAGAACATTTCTCAATATCATCTAAATGTGAATACAGTACCTGTTTTTCTTTATTGACGGTGTTATCCTCGTCTTCTGAGCTGCCTTCATCTTCTTCTGAATGCGTATCATCCACTTCCTGCACTTCTTCCAACACATTTCTGAAAAGAAATCAAAAGGCCTCTCAGATCTCAAAGGCATGTGAGAGGAACTCAAGGGCTGCCATGAATACATCAACAAATGTCCCTTCTTCCAGTCGTAACAGCTACAGAAGCAGAAGAGTCAATAGTAATGACTCAGCATCTGTAGTGTGAATCAGATGTAGGTCAAATGTGAAATCATGCAGCAACACTTGTTTAGAATGCTGCGGCCATTCTTCAAATTCCATGTCGAATGGGTGCGTCACATAAACCAAAAAAATATATTTTAACGTTTGTATCGACCTAAAGTTTTGTTGGTGCTTTTAGCCGGCAAGTATCTAATTACTGCAGTGTAAACAAGAAAAACCGAAGTGGAGCGTCTGTCAAATTAGCCCTGGCTAACGTCTAGTCTTAATAAAATATGTTTGTTATTGATATTGTGGATATGCGTTTGAAAATGTAATTACAAATTAGGTTATTTTAAAATCAGATGGGTTATTGGCTGATGAATTTACTAAATATATTACTAAAATATTTAGTAAATATGATGATACTTGTAAACTAACTACAAATCTCCATCTCTATGTACAGCCTGTAAACATCTATATTTTTAAAGGGGTCATATGATGCTGCAAAAAAGAACATTATTTTGTGTATTTGGTGTAATGAAATGTGTTTATGTGGTTTAAGGTTCAAAAAACACATTATTTTCCACATACTGTACATTATTGTTTCTCCTCTATGCCCCGCCTTTCTGAAACGCGTCGATTTTTACAAAGCTCATCGTCTGAAAAAGCGAGGTGTGCTCTGATTGGCCAGCTATCCAGTAATAATAATAATAATTCATTACATTTAAATAGCGCTTTTCTAGGCACTCAAAGCGCTTTACATTGTCAGGGGGTATCTCCTCATCCACCACCAGTGTGCAGCATCC